TGGTGATCTCTGCCGCAAGGTTAAGCAGGAAAGCATGGGAACACCTTTGGAAAAACATCCCTTGGGTTGAAAGTTCTGAAAGGTGAATCCAATGTCTTTGTAAATAAATTTTGGCTGTGGGAAAAAAATCTGTCTTAATTTTTTTATCTTTCCCAAAAGGGATGGATCTGGGAAAGCAAAAACATTTCCCCAAGCCTCTGCTATGAGACAAAGATGAGATAGTTGCATTTACCTGTTTACCTGCTGGCATCCTTCACAGAGCCTGGCAGCTTACACTACCTGAGTTTAGGCTGTTTCACAACAGTGGGTAGAATTTAATGAATCTGTCAAAAAAGCAGAGATGCTGCTTCGGGGAGAACTGCCTTAGAGAAGTTTCCCAATTACAGTTTCTGCACAGGATTTCTGTACAGAGATCTATCTGTAGTGACATCGTCATCCAAACCACACACCTCGTTATGGCACAGACCACACAGGTATTTCCTCTCATTAGGCAAGTGATACTCTAAATTAGGTTAATCTTACATGTCACTCTTTAGATCGCTTAAACCAGGAACAGTGATTTCCTTTTGCATTATTCATTTTGCTATACACACTGTGGCACATTTCGGATTCAGACAAAGGTGGGTGTTTGATAGCTTTCAGGTAGTGAGATAAACAGAATAAAAGTTCTCAACAAAAATCAACTTTCAGCTAAGCAATTCAAATTACTAAAAATGATTCTGCAGAGTCCAAACGCAGAACTTAATTAACCTAATAGCATCTCTTCAACATTATAAAAGTCTCCAATTCTAACAGATAAATGGGTGTCTGTCTCTACAAAAATGTCAGATCTCTTTTCAAAACAAACAGTAGGTAACATTCACTAATTCACTAATTCAACTGCCAACTTCTGGCCAGACATTAGAAGGGAAACGAGGAGAAAATTTCCATCCCATTCTTGGAGCTACTCCTCTGTAGCAAAGCAAGAAAAGCCTCACGCTAAGCTAGTAACATGAACAATTTTTCTCAGCCCAGTAAAGCAATACAGCTAAACCAAGACTGTAATGATTCAGAATGAAAAAATAACATAAAACAAACTCAAAGGGAGTATTACATCTCTAGTAGCCCAGAAAACCACCGTGCCTTGTCTAGCGCTTCAGGACATCACACAGCTCCAAGATTTCTGAAAAAAGCCTTTGGGAAATGAGAATGAACAGCCCCAAAAGTTTCCTTGAGTTTAGTACTGTAGTACTGTGTGATGTTCTCAGACATGTTTGGAAGCTTCTCAGAAAGTTAGTTACTTAGCTCTCAACTTTTCAGAAGTCAAGTAAAATTTGAAACACCCAGCCTTCAAAAAAAAAAAAAAATCAGAGTATGTGCCTAACTGTAGCATGATTTTCTAGGTTTGTCCGCTTGTTAGAACTACTGGAGACTGGACATTTTGTCCCAGACCCAGCACAGCATTTCAGGTTTTTAGGGCTTAAGTCTAGGACATAGTGAACTGGAATCTATCAAGCTAACTACTGCATCACATGGGTGAGCATGTCCCACAACATGAGAAGAGTTTATTCTAAGTTATGACTATTTTGTAATAGAACCCCCCCTAAAAGAACAGTTCTGTAAAATTAAGTATTTTGTTTACTGCACATAAACTCCTAATTCTAAAAATGCAGGTATTTTCTGGAATGCTGTAGCCATCTGATGCTGGCTGAAGGATAAGTATGAACTTGTATAGGTATGCTTTCAAATGCTCCAAGCCCAAGCTCCTGAAGGAGATCTGTCTAGAACACAAGGTACGTTCCTATGGGTTTGTTTTTCATAAGAAGTGAAGCCTCAATATAGTTGAGCCTTCAGAAATATTCAACATATTGCTCTGCATTGTATGACTACGAGCTGGTGAGAACACAAACCTATCAGCAAACCAAAAGGGCTTGTAACAACTAACAACATCCCCTTTGCTCAAAACAGGCGAACCCTTCAGTTCATTGCAAAAGCCTTGCACCATGATGAAAACAAAAAGGCTGTAACTGTTATGGGTTTGGGAGCAAATGATACACTGACTGCAAGTTTGTCTCCAGAGGCTTGCCTTTGAAATAGGTTAGTCCACCAGATAAAACAACTTTTTCTTATCTTTTTCTCAGCTGAGTTTCTGTCCTTTAAAGTGATTCTCTCCAAAAACTGCTTGAATTTACTGGAACTGCACAAAGCCTTCCAGATTATTGGGTTCTCCCATTTCTTTTTTTTTTTTTTTTTTTTTTTTTTTTTTTTGTTCCACTTTTGGGTTAAAAATTGAAGAAAGATTTCAGAACCACATAACTAGTAATAAAAATCAATACTGTAACAGACTAGAAAAGATGCTCCTGAAGAACGCAAGCCATAAATGTGCTGCTTCAAAATTTCAAAATGTGGCTTTATTCCAACAGAGGTCCAACAACAGCAGTGGCTTTCATGACTTCAGTGCTACCTCTCGTAAGAGACACTTGTTTTAGACAGCCATTGCAAGACTGCTGCTACAAATAGGGCATTTAGATAGAAAAGATCCAAATGATCCAGAATTGCAATCCTTCTCCAACCTACAGTTCCAATTGACTCTTAAAATGAACCACAAGCTGCAGTCAAGAATTAATTCAAGATAAGAGGACCCCTCAACTCTAGCTCCCACTATTCAGTTTACTTGCCCACAGACTGGAGAGGAAACTTGTTTTTTCCAGAGCTTACGCTTTTTGGATACCTTGCAGTGGAGAAAGTGCTGATGCACTCACAGTAATGCAATTTTGCTGTCTTCAGTGAGCTGTGTCTGTGTACTTCCTTGGGCAATCTTGGCTAGATGCTGGTGATACTGAAGCCAGAGCAAAACAGAACTTTCTCATTTGTGTTACCTCTGCAGAAATTATAGTGATAAGAATATGCTATCAATTTTACCCACTTTTAGCACCAAAAGTGTAAAATTCAACAATATTAGGTTTTTGGTGGTTTTGGGTTTTTTTTCTTTAAGCTGAAACTTGTTAAATACACACACTTAGATGATCATACAGAAAACAACTTATTTGTGTGCTCTTTACACATTTTGGAATACAATTCTGGAGAAGAATTAATATACACTGTTGCTTCAAAACATTCAGACATCAAAAAAAGAGCATAATGTAATGTTTATTTGCAGTCACCATATCTCCAATCCAGTGTTCACCATTTTTCATACATGAAGTACCAGAGGTGACTCAATTGAAAAATTTGCAATTTTATTAACTATAGCATTTGATCAAGACTGGCTATTGCTACACAAATATTTACCCAATGTTCTGGCCTCTGTATCAGAAGTGGCAAGAGCAGCACTGAGCAGTCAACTGAAGAGTTATCACAAAGGTTCAATTCCAGAACCAGGAACTCCTAAGAAGCAACCATGGAAAGAGCAGTGTTGGCTTTAAGATCTTTATTTCTTCTTTGATTCTTTATTTCTTCCATAAAAGAGGAAGGTCTACATAATCTAAGCAGAGAGCTTCCAAAGTCTATTAAGCAAGATGGTTCAAGCTATATCCACAGTTTTTGTGGGGCAAATAGCCTCGCCTCAAACAGCAACCATAAAGACAAGCAGTTGAAAACTGGTCACATTTTGCACCCCTTCAGAAACCAAAAGGAAGGGGGGAAAAAAAAGCAAACCCCCAACTTACTCATGTGCTAGGGTGGAAGTATAAAAATGTCAATTATTTATACACAGTACTTCTCCAGAGGAAGGTGCTTGTAGAAACAAAAGCAATGCCTGTGCAGTAAGTATCTTTTCAGTACTTTAAAAGCTTTACAATCCTACCTGGATATGCAAAAAGCTAAGAATGCCAGAGAACAGAGAAAGCAAGTAGGCAGCCCACCATTCTGTGGCATTAAAAAGTGATTAACTGAAATTCACAAACGGTTTAGTGACATTTCTGATAGACTAATCACATAGCAGTGATCTAAATAGAGAAAAAGACCCATTATCAAAATATTCCCAGTAAAAAACTTGTATTTTGGCAGAGTACTTAATGTATTTATTGTGTGGAGATAATGGCTTTTCACTTCAGATTTAGAAGAACATGGATGAAAAGAGGGCTTCCCACAGCTGTATGCACTAGCAAGAACTACTACAAAACCCGTTCATTGCTTGAAATATCCATGTTTCGGAATAAAGGAAAATGAACTGTTGACCCAGTTTATAAGCTCTTAAAATCAGCCTGTACTTAAAAAAAAAAAAAAATCTTCTGTTAAACAGCAGAGTGCTCAGCTGCAGACACCAACCATTCACTCAAAGCAAAACTTAACTATTTTCTGACAGATTGGTTAAAATTGGCCAGGGAAATCAGAGCTGAAAGCTCAAATACTTTCAGAAGCCACGTACATACAGCTGGATGCATTGCTTCTCACTATTACCTATCAATTCATTTCCCCCAACCTCCAACCTGACCCTGACGAAGCACGATTGTTTCTCATTGTGGCTACTGAATTATAAGTACTTTTTATATAGAGACAATACAGTGCTAATCAATACAAATACTTGGATCATTTTTTAAATTCAGCAAGTTGCATTCTCAATGGCAGGTGCTCTATTTCAGACAGCCACACTGATGAAAACATTGCTATATGGCAGATGTCTCAAAAAAAAAATCAAGCCAATTGGCTCTCAAATCTGTCACAAACACATTCAGGATATTTCTAGCTAAATACAATGCATAATTAACAGTCATCTTAGAAAGACTTAACCTTTATTTGCCCATTTATTTCAGTCCGCGCTTACCCCCACTTTTCTTGGTACACTAGCTGGATCACAAAACAGATTTCTCCACAAACAGTTGAGCCAAGAAGAATCTTTTTGGGCTGGTCATCCACTTTAGAACTGTACTGTACAATACAGTTGTAAGCAAATTCTAAATCAAAGCATGGGGGTTTGTATTTGAAAACCACAATAATATTTTATACAGAAACTGGCATTCAGCATTATTGCCTTTCAAACACTTTCAACTGCAAACTCATCTATTTTCACAATCAGAACATTTTTGTCTGAAAAGTTTATTTTAGTTTTCTGAACACTCTAAAGTAACTGTGCTTTTGATGTTACACAAGTGTCCAGATAGGATTAACAAAAATTAAAATGTTCTAAATTACAAATTTAATTCCTGTAAGAGCTTGAGGAAGGAAATAGAACAGAAAAGCATGACATACACACATTGTGAAGAAACCCCAACTTTTCATGCAATGGCAGGCAAGATGTAAAAAGCCACCCAAATTCACACATTTTTACACCGAATCATCAGAGAAGTACTTTGTAGTAAATCTGTACATCCAAATACATTTGGGATCTACACCTAAGTTACATTATTTAATGTTATATACACTTATTACCCCTTGTATAATGTCTAAAGGAGAATCTTCATTCAAACCCAAACCAAAAAAAAAAAAAAAAAGCAAGACTAACTTGGAAAAAAGGAGAATCACTTTAGACATTCAGTTAAAATGTTGGTTTTGTTTTAATCTAGACCTTAAAGTGTTTATTAAAAAACAAACAATTCTCTTCATTTAACATTTTGCTTTCTAACTGTACAGTAAATTGCATTGCAGAGAACACATCCCGTCTTCAGACTGTTTTCTTTGGATGGATTTAAGATGTAGCTGGATGTTACTTTAAAGATAAATAAAGGGAAGTTGGTCCAACTATAACAATAACTGATATATTACATGCATATGGGTTTTCTATATATTTTTAAATTATTTTTTAAACAAATGAGTATAGGGTATAGTTGATATCGCAAATAAACCAAAAAGCACCTGGAGTCAAAATATAAAACACACCTCATATCCTGGCAATGGCAGTAAAAATCAGAAGAGCAATCTTTCTGGAACGGCGTTCATACATAATTTAGAAATGTTAAGTACCAGGAAGACTACTAATCAAGTAGCTTTAGCAGCCAAGTTTCCCTCTTTTTATTGAATGGAACAAATGCTTTAAATAAACCGTTTGTCCTCTTCACTGAAGAGAGCTAGTCTATTCATCTTTAATGAGCTAGGTTTTTTGTTTGGTTTTTTTTTCCTTTTTTTTTGGGGGGGGGGAAAGATTAGCCACGTACTGTAGTAATGCCTACTGCATATAATCCAAGCATTTGCTGTGAACAGTTGGAGAAAGCAGTCAGTAAGAACCTAGGATCAATGAAATAGATGTTACTTTAAGCCATCAACAAAATGGAGACCCATATAGTGCCCAGTGTTAAAACCCAAATCTCTTCTCGCGCTTTTTGTTGTGCAAGTTCATCCCCATGAAAACAGGGACTGATCCATAGTTCAATTTTCTTATTTCCTTAGTCAATTTTCACATTAGTGTAGATTTTACGAACAAAGGCACTTGTTCCCATGTAACCAATAGCTCCTGCAAAATAAACCGAAAACATTGAATATGTTAGAAAGCTGATCATCAAAATAAGCCAGCAATATAACACACATACACTTAAACAGAGAAAGTCACATAAAGCATGAACTCTGCACACAGGAAATTATTTACCTGCAATACTTGTTCTCAAACTAATTATTCATGCTCCCAGTGAACATCTGGCAAAAACTCCCCTAGTCTAGCAATCTAAATCCATTAAGCCATCTTACCAAGAGGCCATGCTCACTTGGCCTCGATAGATATAGCAGCCCCCCCCACCACTGCCAATAACCGGGTCCCTTTTTCTGAACAGAAGGTAAAAACCATACGATCACCCATTCTGCAGGGAAGGTGGATGGGAGAGCAGGTTTTTGTTATAAGTTACAGGCCTTCTGGATGAGTTTTTTATTGGCAGATGGCTTTTTCCTTCCCACAAGGCACAAATAATAATAGAGTCCCATCCCAGGAGTCTTAAACTCCAAGGAGGTCTGTACAAAGAGATTAAACTAGTAGCAGTTAGTAGTTAAAGGAAATTGCAACCAGTGGTTTTCAAATTAGTAAGAGTCATTAGCAGAGTATGCATTGTCACAGCAGTAATAGAAGAATTGGTCACTGGGTTTTTGATAGAGGCAACAGCTTCTGCTAAACCCAAAATATTGCACGACTAAGAACACCTAGAAAAATGAAAGAAATGCACCGGACCCAAGACCTCTCCTGAGAAATAGATTCAGCAATCTACCTGGTCAAACCCAGAACTACAGGTTCTCCAGGCTCGGTAAATACTGTTGTATTACGTGTGTTAGGATATCTGCAAGAAATACCCCAGTGCTTCTCCTTCATTTCTTCCAAGCAAAATGAGAGTAAATCAGCCTTGTGGAAGTCAGTTTGGCTAACTCTCAGGTTAGAAGTGAAGTTGAAAAATCAAGCAAGATTTAGAGAGAACTGCTGTCAGACTTCCACAATAACACATCATAAAATATGGGAAGAAAAGAATAGAAAAGTAAAGGCCTATAACTCAGTACACGTAAGAGAACTGATATCAAACACTTGGATGCTCAGTAAAGAACTGACTCTAAACAGGTATTTTTGCTTCCCTGAAGCAATAAAGAAAAGCCTAGAACAGAGCATGGAACAACATTTTCAGTGATCTGGAATGCACTAGACTTGTATAAGATGTGTTAAATACAAAAGCCTAACCAACACTAAAAGATTTCCACCAAAATTTCATTTCTCAATAAAAACTTTTTGCCTTTAGAAATTAAGGCCATACAAACCTGCAGCTAGCACTGCCAACCACAGATTTATTCAGAACACGGAGAGTTCTTTAAATCCTAGGGGCTACTCAGATACATCATTAAGTCAGCCATTAAACTCACACAGAATTTTGTGTTTTAATCCCCTGAAAGCCCAACATTCCTATCTAATCAGGAAATCTGCACAAGGCAAACCTGATGCATCATTCCAACGCTATGAGAACAGTAAAGAGCCTGTGGAGTCAGCCTCTGTATCACATAGCATTTCAAGCCATATAAATATCATGACAACTATCCCACTGGCCAGTAAATGAGGGATTCGCATTACTAAGTTGGACAAAGTAGAGTTTGATTAAAACAAATACAGCACACACAAGATCAGGTTGCTGTTCGCAAGTGTTAAGTGTGCTGAGGATGCAGCAGAGAGGCCTGACAGTTCAAAGAGAGACCAGTACAGCATTCGGACAGACCCAAGCACATGCTGTGCAGAGGAGGCGATGTGAGCTTGGAGACATACAGGAGCACATGCAGATTATTCTGTAGCCTGTCAAGAAACTAATCTTCTGTCTTATGCAGTAAACGGACAAAATAATGGCACTGAACTCCTGTTTTAAGACTCCTCATGTTTTGCCTGTTAAAGCAGACACTGCCAACAGATTAAATGCCCATTTCAGTTGCTAAACTCAGATGCATTCCAGAACTTGTTCTTTGATAGTTTCTCTAGTGGTGTGATGTCAAATATCAGAGATTTGGGAGAACAAAGCACTAATTATGTTTCATTTAGGATCTAGAGAATGTGTGCAAGAGATGGAAGTGAGGGGCAAGACTAGAGAGTAGCAGTCACATGAGACCACAAGCTCTCAAGCCCATAAACAAATCATAACCTATTCTGAATTGCAGGAGCCTTATCCATGAAGGACACTAATGGCCAATACCCAAGGCAGGGGTTAATCCTCAAGGCTACTTCACAACCATTGAATAAAACATGGGGTGGGGAGGAGAAAACCCTAGACAATGACAACTAAAGAATATCTTCCTGAAATAAATGCAGGGCAGTTGGTTCATTTGAATAAAAAGAAAATCCATACTAAATGAAGTGATTTTATTTATTTATTATAACTATCATCTGACAAGGTGTTTAAGGTGGCTATGGCCTACAAGAACAACAAGCCTTTAAATATAGAGAAAAATCCAAATGGTAAGGAACAACAACCACAAAACGGAAAATTATTAACTCCCATCTACTTCAAACCAACTAACAGTTACCACAGCTGGAACTTCGTAAGCACAGATTTTTTTTTTTTTTTAAAGCCCTTCAATCATTCTTACAGTACTGATCTGGATGCTGAAGTGAAGTGCTGCAAGAGGCCTTTCTATACTACATAGCCCTCAGCTATCCACTGAGTTGGCGAATAAGCTTTACTCTTTTCTGTCACTAAGAGGGAAGCACAAGAAGCTCAAAAGGTTTGGAATTCTCATGGGCTCCCTAATGTCCAGTCCTACAACTCAGATTATCTGCAGAGGCTAGCAGACTTTGTGGATCAAAGCATCCCACTATGTGTGGGATTTGCGTTCACTAGGCATTGTCAGGGGCACTAAAAACAGAATTGGATAATACAAGCCTCTAGAGAGTTTCCCTGTGGCTGCCTTGGACCCTAACTAGTTTGTTTCACATGCATCTGTGTGATACTCAACACGCCCATACTCATGAGCATCCAAAGCACAGCTCTACATACTTTTCACAAGAGGCGTACAGTCAGTAGCATGCACCCTGCACAATTTTCTAGCACAAATGTCTTTGTTAGCCATCAATGGCAGCAAGTTCCCTAGACAAATGCTTTTTGACAGGGGATTTTTTTCTTCCCTCCACATGCTGAAAATGGGAGTTCTCAGTAAAAAGGAATCTCACAGCTTCTCTTCCAATACAGTTAAAAAGACAAAAAGAAAACCCAATAGAGCTGTGGAAATAAAATTTAACATGTTAAAGTATTTAATAATTTTGAATAAATTTGGATTTTACTCTAATGTTCCATCAAGTGGTGTTCTACCGTGACAAGAAAGCATTTGACAGTCTTCCATGTTTTAAAAAACATTTTAATTACAAAGTTGGTGGGCAAGCTTGGCTTCTGCATCATAGGCTTTTTAATCAAAACCAGCCCAAGCACTTTAAAAAGAAAAGATTAGAGCTGAAAAGTATAAGCCTATTAAAGAAAAAAAAAATGTCAGTGAGAATGCCACAACAGCAGGGAAGTCTTGTAATGTGCCAAGAACCTGACGAAGCAAGATTAAATCGTATGAGAGGAAAGGGGAACAGGTACTCAGCAGTTAAGAGGTTATTTCCCTTCCTTTTTTATAAAGCAATGTCAAATTACCCACCCTCTTGGGACATCAAGAAACATACACTTTACAGAAAGTAAGCTCCTGTAAAACACCATGTGTCTCAGATATTTAACTCAAAGAAATCTTTCCACCAGAGCTTACAGGACTATTAAGAAGGAAAGTATTTAATAAGGATAGAATGGATCACACATAAAAATCAACTAACTAATAGGAACTTGCAAAAAACCAAGAAGCACTTTCTGAATGTCATAAAGAAAAGAGAAAAAAAAAAAGCTAACAGGTGAACAAATATATTTGACTATGAGATGACCTCTATGCAGAGAACTGTTTTTCTTTAAACATCTGTTGACATAGTATCTTAAAAAGCAATGAAATCCAGCTGCACACAGGAGCACTCTGCCCCCTCCACATCTGTAAATATTCCAGTACTTATTTCTCAAATATTATCCTGAAGTTTCAGTCCCTTCTGTTGTGGTCACCGTCATATATACATGCCAGAGGATACAGATGGTAGCATCATCAGTATTGTGATAACATTGTTGGGGCAACAGTAAAAACTCCAAAACAAAATGCTAGCATGGACTCAGCTTAGTTTGGAATTTACTTTGCAGAATTTCTTGACCAATATTGAGACTTTCAAGTTTGCACTGAGGGTGAAATTCTCTGCACAGTACATAAGTTATCTTCCCATCAGAAGACGCAATCCAAAAAAATCTCCTGTATGAGGCAGGAACCAAGTATAAGCAGAGAACTCTAACATTCAAGGCCAGGATGGATGAGGCTTTGAGCAACCTGGTCTCGTGGTAGGTGTCCCTGCCCATAGCAGGGGGGTTGGAACCAGATGATCTCTAAGGTCCCTTCCAACCCAAACCATTCTATGATTCTATGACTCTTTTTAAAGATTGTACGCATTTTGGAGCAGATCTTGCAGACATACACACTCCACCACCAAAACCACTGAGCTAAAATCAGAAACATGACAGTCTGAAAAATTCTGATAGAAAATTGACAATACATTTGAAACTTACCACACATTATTCCCAAAGCTGTGCTAAATACTGCCATATAACCAAAGTAAAATGATGTTTGAAACAAGCCATACATCCTGAAAGAAAAAGATACGAATTTATGCTAGGTATTTTCCCCAGTTTTTCTCAATAAACTTATTTGGCAATATGGTAATCTGATACTTAAGTGAAAAAAACTACCACTTACTTTGTCTTGAAAAAGTAGTAGTAAAAGGAGTACATGTAAACATAAATCGCAGTTGATGCCGCAGAAAGAAAGCTTGTCCATTGCCTGAAAGTAAACACACATGTCCATCATATCTAACGAAAAGGCTTCTCAAGGAGATGCACAATTTGCTAAAATCTTACCCTGAAAATAAAGTGTACTGCTTCTACAGACTTACTTAACAAAATATACATGTTTTCTGCTATAAGTGACAGCTATCACTGATAACAAGCGATGATCTTTCATGATATTCTTGTGTGCCTCGACTTTTTTTTTATACATACATACATGCACGCACAGATGCATACACACAGAAAGCTCCTGTACAAAAAGCATCCAAGAACTGCTTTTATTCCCTACAGCTAAAACCTGGACATAGGACACTTTGAAAAGATCCATGCAGACTGAAGAAAGATTACTTGAAAACTCTCACAATCTGGTTAACTATGCAAATAATACAATACTTACCACCTGTAATCCTCTGCATTTAGCAGGAAATACGTACAAACGATAGTCACACAAACTGTCACAATGCAGAGGATAACCAGAACCAACATCATAAAGCCATAAACATAGTAGATCTTGTAAGCCCAGAATGAAGTAAAAATGAAATACCTGAAGACAGTAAACAAAATATGTAGATGTATTGTAATTGACTTAAATTATTATAATTTTAAATCAAATTGACAAATAGCTGACATACTCACATTTCAATAAAAATTGATCCAAAAGGGAGGATTCCACCCAGGCAAACAATAACAGCTGGTTCCATGAACCTGAAAGATATTAAGATTAGTTTACGGACAATTTTAATCTTTCATTTATAAACACATGAAGACATATAACCAGGTAATTAATATAGCACTGAGAATCATTTAAAAGGCATGCTGACAAGAACACTTCTGTCTCATACCAGCATTCCAGGAAGAAGATTCCCCCAAAGATGTCATGTGTATGGATAGAAGGAGAAGTTATTCTTGGGGAAAGCTGAAACAAAACATAGGCAGCATGCCTATCATCTACAGGTATAAGGTTAGGCATCTAACCACCCTTAAAGGCTACCGAAATAATCTCTCTTGCCCAAAAAGGGTCTAAGCAATCAAGCCCGATAACATCCACTAGGCTTGAGTGAAGGCAGTGAAAACTCAGTGCTGTTGATAGCCACAAATACAGCAAAAAGAGCAAAGAAAATTTTGCAGAGTAATGTTATATAATTAAGAACCAGTGTTTATTTTTAATGCTATACTGAGTCATGCGCATATGGCCAAAAATGAATACTCAGCTACCTGTAGATGATACTGTCACTTACTAAAGCTGACCTTTGTGTAGTACTTGCAACAATTCCAAATCTAGCTAGCAACCAGGGATTTATTTTGCAGCTTCTTTAATTATTTATAGGGAGACTTGTCTAAGCTGATGGTGTGCAATTTCATCATCTTCAAGAGAAGTATCTTATTTCTTTTTATCTGTCATGCCGATCCAGAAAAATCCATCAGATTCCCAAGATACACGTCACAATATAAATCAAATCCTAGCATCTGAGCTGCACAACCCACCACTAATGAGAGACTAAGTGTGCGGCACTTCCTGGATATCACAGACATACACATTTCAGTGCCCTCTTCACTTTGTCTGTTCCATCCCTCTGAACAGGGAAAGCAAGAAAAATCTATTTTAAAAAATCCTCTGAGGATATTTCCATAGCTCCATAGCTTGCTGCTTCCATCTCAGAATTAAATTAATAGGAGAAACTGACTGCATTCATGATTTTCCAAAAACCTAAGTCTACTTTGTGAGACTAGGCAATCTTTTACATTCACTTTAAAAATAATAAAGGCTTCTTCACAATTCAAACCATATACCTGGAATATTTTAGGTTCTGTGCCATCAACAAAAGGGTAGAATTGGGATCAGCATTGCAAGCTTCTCCCCACCATCACCCTTCAAATATGCCTCAGCTTGTACATGGACACCATTAAACGGAACAGTTCTGCCTGCAAGGCATATTCAATACTAAATCTGTAAGAGGCATTAACTAAAGAGGAAAGGTTTAGTTTCAAGATACCCATACAAGAACTGTGTTGGCACCATTGCTTTTACCTAAGAGACTGAAGAGCATTTCAGGCCAAATGTGAATCAGTGATCCAAGACTTCAAAATCTGCTACAACTATTAACCATGGTGCTTTTATTCAACAGAAAAATCATATTAAGGAAACGCTAGAAGAGGTGTTCTCGTAGGCACAACTCAATTTAAATTTTAAAAGTTATTCTAGAAAAACTTTTAAGGATCACACCTGAAAAGTAATTTTAAATGTACTGAAATGAATACTTCTAGTCAACATTCATGCTTGTCTTTACCATTTTTTCTCTGGTATGGGACGAGGCACTGCATTGACACGACATGGAAAATTAGGCTGTCCTGACAGATTTCGGCCAAGAATCGTACCAACAAGATTCAATGGAAGAATGACAAAGAAACAAATACAGCACACTGCCACCTGTAAACATAAATAAATAAAATATTTTTTTAAAAAGGTACAAGATGACAAAAGAAGATAACCACCCGCTCCACGTATATTAGTCCTCAATAGTTATTGCCGTACCATCATACTCCCAGTCATGAAGCATTAGTCAGCATATATCTATTTTACCAAACTGAAGTATTTATTTACTGAGAAACTTCCTAATAAACATTATTAAAGTACTTTTTCTTGCACCAATTGAATGAACAGAACTATTACACTTTTTTATTTTTTTTTTAAACTGTTTTCATCTAATCATTATACTCAATACATTGCACAGGAAAGAAATTGAAATCTTCATGGTACTTTGTCACAGAAAATTCTGTCAACTTCTCTTAAACTTCTGCAGAGTACGCTATCCCTGGGAATTAACATCTAGCAGGTAGGCAGTTGCACAAAAAACTACAACAGCTAGGTGCAAAAAATTTTAATCCAATCCAAAAAAGAGTCCCAAAGAAGAATTGCAAATTCATGTCAGAACCCAATGAAAATTTTGAGTTTAATTTTCTCCACTATGCACCAACCAGGTAATTAATAACATGGACTGACAAAGATACAACTCATCACTCGTATGCACAGATCACAATTTAGAAGCACAAGGGCCCCACTTATATATAAAGAATAGGTTTACGCACAATGCAACAAAGACAAACCAAATGTTCCAGCTCTTTCCAAGGAACAGCCTCCCTAAAACTTTACCATGAATCACCTTTTTTTCCAGTATATGTATGTAGCTCTACTTTTGTTATTCCTTGAAGGCAACATTATCTTCCAAAATGTGTTTAGCAAGATATTCTCTACTTGTAACTTATTAGCACAAAATAAATTAGCATTAGACTGTTGACTTTTTGATATTGATAATTACAGACAGAACAGCTGCTTGTAATGCAATTACCATAGTTTTGAATATTGGCCCTGTGACCTTCTCTATGCAAACATATGAAAATACTGCCTTTTAAAAGCACTGTTGCCTGAGGCTCTGTGTACACCCTGGTGCCTCCTGAGCAAAGAAGCTATGTTCCTCTTTCATTCCATCAGGACGCATAGTCCATGACAGCAGATTAATCCAAAACAATGGACCAGGATCAGGATCTAAGAGCCACACACTGACTTGTTTAAGAAGCAGTTACCTCAGGATAAATAAAGGCTGTTCACATACATTACATCTACAGAAATCTACTGCAAGCAGTTGAAAAGCAAGAACTGCTAGGCTTCATGAGATGAGGAGTTGCACGACATTAACTCAATACAAACTTAGCGTTATGTCAATCACACAGTCTAAGCCAGCATCTGACAACAGTCAGTGGTTTTTCTCTCTGTTACTGACTTGCATATCATTACTAGCCTAGGCCAGATGTGAATGGAAAATGCTGGCTGGGGTTGGATGCTTCGCAGAAGAGGTACACCAAAGAGGTGGTCAACAAACAGAAGCACTGTTCAGACCGCTCTGTATATCTTTGAGGAGAGGTTACTAAAGAACTACATAAATGAGCCACTAAAATATGAAGCTTCAGTGGTAAATAAGGAAAAGCTAAGTAATATTTATACTTGCCAATAATAAAGCAGATTTTATTCAATCAATACGTATTTAGTATCTCCCATTTATCTTCTTCCATTACTCAAAAAAACCACAGGTAAGCAAGCATAGTGTCTTAGGTAGGACACTGAGTTGCCTAAGAATAAATTACAACTAGTACAAGTATACAATTAACTCACTTAATGGTTGCAGGGTCTGCTCTCGAAAACTGCTCAGTCTAAGAGAAAGAGCAGATGAGAATTTTCAGAGAAAAATGTCAAAAAGTATCAGAAACATCAAAGAACTTCATCTTGAGTGCCACATTTACTGAGATCCTGACCAAAAAGTCCCAGCTTGTTTGAGGTACAGTGGGTAGAAGAGACGTTCAAGAATTAAGGCCTGGACAGGATCCAAAGAATTTCCAAGCTGACCATACTGAAATAATTTCCATTTGCAAGACAGCTTCCTGCCTGGCAAGGGCCCCAGGGTCTGCCAGGCAGCCCCTGTCCGTGGTGATCTGGCAGGTAGGTTTCAAACCTGGCTGAGGCAGAAAAGCTCAGACACAGGCAGCATGAAAGAGCATCTGTACTGCTCATCCAGTCACAACTGTCTTTTTAGTGCAGTTACCAAGACATCCGTAGCTTCATTTCTCAATCTCAGAAATTACCCCTGACTGGGGATGGTGGTACAAAGTGAATCCACTGCTTTATAGCAGAAAGAAACTGTTCAAGAAGAGCCTTGTGTTCCAAGCTCACCAGCAACAAAACTTAGTAGCTTCTAATTGTCCATCTTGCAAAACACACCTATCATAGGGAATCCACAAGGAAAGAATATTATCTTGGACAAGGAAAAAAAGCAAGGAACATCCACGCCTAATTACTGATTAGCTGGCAAACTCCTAAATGAAAAAAGGCAGTCAGTAGCATCTCATTTTAGAGACACCAACTGCAGAGCTGAATGGCTCCAAACCAAGCGAACAAGGAGAAGGCCCAACTTCTTCGAGCAGGGCTTGGCTATTGTGTTGTCCAAGAGACTGACTCAGCAGCAGCTTTGAAATCTAAAACGTTTATCTGCATAAAACAAGCTGAGGCAGACTAAGGTTCCTTGAATAATGGCTTCAGTAAGTACTGCCAACCTGTCCCCAGTACACTTAGCTTTTCTGATGGATGCCAATTACAAGTGCTTGTGGTTTCATTATCAGATCAGTCAAACCACGACTGATAATGTAATATCTTGCATTCTATTAACTATTTGGCTGAAAAATTAACTGATTTCAGACAGAACAGCTAGCATCTTTCAGTGAAAACTTGTAAGCAGCAGCAGGTAAAGTCAACATTTTGTTAAACAATGAACTGTCTGTCTTAATACTATGCTATGTTCTGAGGACAGCTGAAATCAAAATACACTTTTTCGTTTTTTCCTGGAGCCATTCAGGAGTCTAAAAATTATCTGAGACAATTTTGCAGTGCAAAGGAGGCCCCAACTGAGCAAGCAGGGATGGACCACAGTGCAGGCTCAGGAATCCCTTCCACTTCCCCCTGCCTCTGAGAAGCTGTCTGTCCAAGCTGATAAAGTTGTGAATGTTCTGTCTTGAGATGACCCAACCCTGTGGACAGCAACCCAAAGCTGGTCTTAGGAGACTGACCAACACAACCAGTACTGGTTAGAAACAGCACACACTGTGCTGACCTCAGTAGCATCTCCTTTCTTGCTTTCAACTCACTGTCTGACTCCATGGTAGTCTACCTGCTCAGACTGATGCTTGCTGGAAATTACCTTCTTCATTCTTGGCAGTAATAGTCTTCTCTGGATGCGAGAGATGACTGGAGATAGCTAGCTTTTCTAGCTTCTGCATGTTCCTCTTAATTTCAGATCTGAGGTGAAGACACTGACTCCTCCCAAACTGAACAGATAGTGCTTGTTGCCACAGATGGCAAGGGCAGTAACGATGCAGGCTGGGCAACGTCTAAACCTAGAGAGTTTAAATCCAAACTGAAGCAAACACAGGACAGTGGGGTACACAAGCAACTTAGCTGGAAAAAGAGATGAAATTATGAGATTTCTGCCTCATAGGTTACAGAGAACGAGAATACGATGGCAAAAGCAGCTCTGGCACTCTACTTGCCTCCATTTCACCATCACAAACAGTATGGGGAAACAAAGGCAGGATCAGCATAAAAACGTGCTCTGCCCTCCTGCAGAAGCACTTCCCGAGAGAGGTCACTGATAACACACTAAAAAACCCAAAACTCTAATAATAGCTGTGGCCTGACAGGCAGAGGCAAGAATGTTAGATCTTCCTAAGCCTTTTAAGAGAAGTATTACTGTAACATCGGCCAAGAGAAATTCAGAGAACAGTCTTAACTACCACTTCAGAAAACACGTATTATGTAAACAGGCAAATCTACATCTACATACCCAGTTTTCCGTCAAGCAAGCAAGCACACATTCTCCATAATCCATATTACTGAAGTCAAATTATATAAATTTTTCTACCAAGCCAGTACACTTAAACATACCTACTTCATTTTGTCTGTTGCATTTTTGTTGTACAAAATATCTTACTTCTACACAAGCATCTGATTTAGTTTGCAGTTTTTACTTTCCATAGAAGAGACTGTTAACCTCACCAAGCCTGCATTTCTTCTAACCCCATTTTGTTTTGATGGGGAAAGAATATTCTACTGCCCTTGACTGAATGTGCAGGATTCAGTTTTCCTTATCTGAAAGGAAACATTGTCAAGACATATAATTTATGTTCTAGTGTCATATGTTTTGTATTTTCTGACAACTGTAGGTTAAACTTCATTCAAAGGTGATAATTAAAATTTTAATAAGCGTATCTAATACTAAACAGCTACTGGCAGGCCATGGTGCCTTGACTGCTTAATGCACAAGGGAGAAAAGCAATAAAAATGATCTGTCAAAGCAGCAGCTTGATCTCTCCTGTCAGCTACCAACAGCGCACTCTCAGTTATGAGACTAACCCCCCATACAGAGGTTACCAAATCTCTACAGTGAACAGCTTTCTGCACATCATCTGCCCAAACATTATACGGAACAAGAAAATAATAGAAGGCTTCAAAATAAAGTGTTATTAATTTTATTACAACCAAGTTGTTAATCAAGGGTGCTGCTCTGGGTAATGAATGGAACTGTTGAAAGTCCAGGCAGAAGCATTAAGCTGTGTCTACTTTCAGCAGAAATTAGGTTTTTGACCAAGGGCTCCAAAGTCACTTTCAAACAATGTGAGGAAGCACCTTGATGAATGTATATACCTAGATTTTTTCTGTTTTTACCAGGTGTATTTCCTTATCCATCTCAAGGCATGAAAATCTTTGGCGCTATCAGGTCCTCCTTTTTCAGTGGCAGCCAACACTGATACAATCTTAAAGCTGTCAGGGATGGCTGCAGCCTGGATTAAGCTATCTGTTGGAGGAAACACTTTTTCCTAGTTTAAACCAAGGTATAAAAGATGCAAACACTAGGGTCTTGATCCCAAGAAAAATTCAGTGTTTGTAACGTTATTTAATTAAATCATTAAAAATGCATACTGGAAACATTAGCCACACAGGAACCTTCTGCTCAAACAAAACAGAAATGGTCCATCTTCAACAGTTTAACAGAAGCTGCACGGATTCTGCAGTCAGAATGTTACATTAGTCACAGTAGCCTTAATGGAAATCTTTAAATTATGTATCACACACAGAACAACATAAGCACTCACAACTTATGAAATGCCAGAATTAAGATGGTACCTTCAAATTCAATCATACTGTACTCTGTAGAAATTCTGCATTACTTAGTAAGTATTTCTGCATAGAACTACCAACACACTCCTCATACGTATATGGAGAGGTCACTTCACCCGTCATTATTTAAAATGCTTCTAAAATAATGCTCCATTTTTTGCATATAATTCAAGCACAACAAAATAGATGACTGATAAATACACATAAAAGACTGACAAACATCAACAGAGGGTAAGTCAAGGTGTACCACACCTTCAGAACTCTACGTTCAGCAGTAACAGGATATAATAAAAAAATACTCCCAAAAATCAAATTTGGGTTTCAAAAAAACAAAGAACCGGACAATACTCACTGCATTCCTATAGAGGTGAAGAGATGAGAGAAAAAACACAGACTTTCTATCTCCTTCACATGCTTAGGGAGTTGAAAGCTTTAAACCATTCAGTTTTAAAAAGCTCTCATATTTGAATAAAATCTGTCACATTCTTTATTGCATTTTGAAGGGAAGGGCAGCTGAAAGATCCCAGGGAAGAGATTAAGCTTTTGTTCAGGTTCATGGTGCATTTCACCACAGAAAGTTTGTCACAGTATAGGTAAGACGGCTCGCATGTATATCCAAAAGGACTAAAGACAGAGCCCCAAGACTGACAAATGGCTTCGGAAACAAGCTTTGGATCTTCCCAGTCCCTGTCACATCTTCAAGGAGATCCCAGACATCAGGAATGAGTTATAGAAGGTGAACAAAGCTTTGAAGTTCAAAACAGACTGCAAGGACAGTGAGGTGTACAAAGGTCCTGAAGAGCTCAATCAAATTGAGCATTTCAAGACAAAGTGTAGAAGAGCTGATACCAGGAAGACTGAAGATGCAGCAACTCTGCGTTAGCCTGGATGTCTTGGGACACTAACCTACATTGCTGCCTACATTCTGTAGAAAAATCTGTCTGGAGGGAGGAGTTCAGTCACAGAGAAGAGACTATCTAGCAGTTCACTGGGAAGTGGCAATGTGAAACGGGCAAAGCACAGGATATCATATTTAAGCTTAAGGTCTCAGCAACCTTTTAGCTCAGAGACTTCTTTCAGCAATTCAGTCTCTGCTTTTTCCAGATTTACAGTAGTCAAGAAGAGGTGGTAATTCTTGCGAGCAATTTAAATGAAGGAGGGCGGTTTCAAGACACATCAGGGTAACGGAAGTAATCTGTGGGTTCTAGTACATTTAGATGACAGAGGTTTTATTTCCCCAAGAAAGCCCGCGCACCAAGTTTGCACTAGAGAATTCTGGAAGCTTCTCTACATTGAAAACAAAGGTGGAAAACCAAAAAGGTATCTTATCCATAAAGCCAGAGGGCTTCCTGGGGACTTCAACCTGAAGCATATCATGGTAACTTCAAACAATTTTAATTTCCTTCTTCAAACCAGCTTTACCAGTTGATTTGAAGTCATTAGAGCGTTTCTTATTCTGATGAAGTTTCCGATTCATAACCTGCTCCTACTGAAAAGTCTGCTAACTCCACTGAAGTTTTATTGCCACAGCCATAATGATTCAAACACGTTCATAAAACCTTGAAATAATTAAAATCACTGTGTATAGAGAATCCTAACATCCTGATTAAGTGAACCCTGAAGATTTATACTCCCATTTGCTTTTGCATGTACATGTTTCCATGACCTTAAAATACCAACCAGTTGGACAGATTTACAAGACAATACTTCAGCACAGGTGGAATTCCCTTCCCTCAGCATTCCTGACCTCTAAATGGGAATACAAGTGAGAAATGCGACATTATAAATGCTTGCTCAGCAGTGAAACAGAGCCTCTTCGCACATATCAATGCTGTAAACTTTTCTGTCAGTATTATATATGGCTACTAGCTTAGGAAATGAAAACCAATGTAATATCCCTTTGGGGCACTAACCAACTAATAGAAATATATCCAAAGATAGAATTTTAGACTAATTTCTTGGAGAAGAAAACCAGAAAAATTAAGTGAACAGATAATAAACGTGTTTATCTTGATACTATATTTAATGGGTTTAAAACACCAAATTAAATGTAAAAAGTTGGTATTTAGGCAAACATTGAAAATGCTACTAATAAGGAGGTGACTAGAACCAGCAATGTACATGTAAACTAATGACTCCATCAGTAGAAAATTATTGAAAGCCTTTGCCTGAAAATGAGAATTGTCTGTCTTTTAATTACAATTTATGATTTCTACCACATTCATTCATTAATGTTGTATTCTTAAGAAGTATTTTCAGTGACATACTTAATTTGATGATACCCCAAATAATAGAATGCATAACACAGAACTTGCAATACCAAGCTTCATTTTGTGGTAGATTTAAACTAAGAAGAAACCCAAGGCTACTGAAATGTCTCTGCATAGACTGAACAACTTCATGTATCACAAAAACTGACATGCAAAGAAGGGAGCTATAAAAAAAGGTCAAACCTCAAGATTTGCTGCGGACATTGAGAACCACACAAGCCTTCCTGTAATAAGATTTTTAAGTTAACAGTGCTACTGCACGAAACTAGAAAAAGCAATTTTATGGTGCACATTTCAGAAAATTCTGCTCTCAAATAATACCCCTTGCAAGCTCAAGCAGAAATTCTGCCAAGTGTTTATGTTTATTTCCTACATTGTATTCACAGGGTTATTTGAGGTTACTTGAGAGAGCCAGGACACCAAACAAAATCCTGACAAAAGCAAAGAGAAACAAAAAAAGTAATCATGATTAAATGGGAGAGTAATCCAACCGGCATTGTTTTTTCAAGTCACATGGTTAATACACAGACACATGACTATAACCGGATACTAAAGACCACTTCACAAAGTGAAAACAGTGATTCATCTTCATAAAGCCAGATCTCAGGACTTCTCATCTCATATTGTTGGTTGATCTTTTATTTTTATTTTTTCTGTTTGACTGCAATGATCTGGAAGTAGCTTTCACTTGGAATCCTTCTGTATTGCATTTTAGCTTATAACCAGTTTGCACTGGCCATTCAGAAGAAAATTCAAGCTGCTAACTTCCTATGATGTTATTACACTAAGCTTGAATACAAAGCAGAAGTACCATTTCAAGCAGAGGGGAGACTGTTCTTGGCATCCAAAATGTGTGAATTGTGATTAAAACGAATTATACTTGAAGCACCTTAAAACCCTCCCAGAATAAATTTTTAACTAGGAAGGTAAAGCTATGACTCACCATTTTATTCAGTCTAAAAGTTAGTTTTCCTGTGCCTACAGTGGTGTTTACATTCTCCAGTAAAATGACTCACCATGGTTCCAAAGGGTATAGCTCTTGAAGCATGATAATAGATGGCAATGAAGTTAATGAAGAAGGCAGTTCCACACACCATTGCTGGAATGAGGAAGGCTCCGATGAACATCTGTTTTATCCATCGCCTTCCTGTAAGAAGGGACATTCCAATGGGACTGGTGAGACACGCAGTATTTTGTTTAAAAAGTTACCAGCAAGCTCTTCAGAATTTAGGTGTCTGACTTCTTCTTCCCCCAAAAAGTGAAAGAAATAAGTAACAACATACTGTATCAATACAAGAGAAAGAGTCAACTAACAATTTAATTTGAGTCCTGTCAACTCACAAGATGCAGCATATTAATCAATTTATTAGGCCAGGTGAAAAGACAGGAAAAGGGATACACCGTGAGAACATTTCAGCTGAAGAACAGCACATGCTGACTAAGCTGGCCAAAGAAAGCAGGGTATGAAAGGTAAGTGTATATGTAAGCTGTAGATTACTAGATACAGAAATAGCAGAGCCGGCCCTGTGCAGAACTTGCTCACACCCTGAGAGCACATGAGAGCTTAGCACTGCTCCCGGGACAACTCAGCACTACAGCTGCTTTCAGGCAACACCTGCTCTGGGTTGTCTTGACCCCACTAAGCTGATTCCATTACATTCAGGATGCATTAAGGAACTGGCTATCCCTGGTATAAAGCAAAATTGAACCTGGACTTGTTCAACACCAGGAGAGGTAAACAGAAAGTAATTTCTAAACCCGAGGCATAATGGGAACAGCAACACTTGTTAGCAGCTATTACTAAGTTTAGAGCTCCCCGAGGAGCTCAAAAAAACCCTCTTAGGCAATGTCTTAAGAATTGTTACTGTCTGTATTCCCTTTACTTTCTATGCTCTTAAATACTGCCTATATTTAAATTTAATATACCATAGATGCATCTGTAATATGCACTAAACAAAAAACAGCCAGAAAACTAGCATATGCTTTTTAAGACCTTCTTATGTATTTTCACCATGGGCCAACATAATCAGCATTCCACTGTTCGATACACGTTTGATCTGTAAGAAAATAAATGCAAATCTGTCTCCACTATACAGCACAGTATATTTTAGAGCAGCAACTCTAATTTACCTAAATCAGTTTTTCTACAAATTGCTAGGTTTATACACAAGCCACATGACCCAAACTCAGAGTAGATTAGAGTGCAGCTGAAGTTAACTCCGTCCCAGCTGAAACCAGGACAGACTGAACACTAACAAGTATGTCATGCTAAAAAGATACAAATTTTCTTTTGCAAACTTACCAGTATTATTTTTTCTAAAGTACTGCAGAAGATAATAGATATTGATTACTCTTTTACTGCAGCATAGGGAATGGATTAAGCTAGTGGACTGCAAGGATGTAATTGGTCATGAACTCAAGAGGCATAGTGGAGAGCACTTGAAGACAGCCTGTCCAAATCTGTTATGTCAGTCTCTACTGACTCATTTTGAATTTGCTAAGTATAAAGCAGAGCACATACTGAAAAGTAGAATAACCTTTAAAAGATGCTATGAACAGTTTCCTCCATCTACAATTAAAGGTCTAGTAAGTATTGTATACTCATCTTCTCCATGTTAGTAAACATAACCCCCCCAGTAGCTATAGAGAAGGACTATATAGGAGTCATCTGGAGAACACAACATGAGCTGTTTAACAGCATGTTACAGAAGAGGCTATTAAAGTCTCTGGATGTCATGAGCCAGACAATTATATACAAGAGTATAACAAGCAACTCATGAGCTACAACTGTTAACAGTTCTTTAGCTCTTACGACTTTTAAATTAACCAAAGACTTCAGCTATCTCTAGGCAGAAAAGGCAGCCAATACTGAACAGGAAATAATACGAAAGTAAAATACACTCAAAATATTTTCTGTTTATTAAGAATTTAATAGATTCCATCTGAATGACCTAACTCCATGAGTACACTTCTATATTGGTGCAAATCGGAAAATCGTAACTTCTACATTTAACAACGTAAAGAAAATGCTGAAACATGAAAACAATTTACCTCCTTGTCTAGCATAAAGGCTTCCTCCGAAATATCCATTCACTGGCGATGTTGCAGCATAAACAAATATAGCTGTACTAAGCATTGATCCTCTCCTACAAGAAGCGATTTTTTGATAAACATAATAGAAAAACAAACAGCATTAAAGCAAAAGATTACAGTAAAATATGTACACTTAGCAGAAGTAGTTAGCTAATAATTTTAGGTAATGTAAATGTTCTGACATACTACATTCCTTTTCCAACATGCATTTATTTTCACTGGAGTACAAAATCTCACATCTGATCAAAATACTCTTGCCATTTGGATGTGTGTACCTTATATATATAAAGAACTTAACTATTCATGACATACATTAAGTGTACTATTCAACCACTGCAGATAAAAGGTACTCTTTGCTTAATATAAAGGCTAGTATTAACAAAAATTTACCAAGATCGTGAATGATGTTTCTGCCATCTCTCAGAAATTAACTTTTAAGATCAAAAGTGTTCATCTTACAGAAAATTAGAAAACCTGATTTAGAAACTATAAATCCTATAATGAAGCCACAAATCAGCATGGAGTAGTCTGATCAGGATCGTTTAGTCATTTTAAAATTATCGCCTCATTAAATGTTGGGAGTACTCATTTTGGCACAATTTTACAGGCAAAGCCAGTAATTTTAAATCACAAAAGCCAACTCCAAATAAATTTTTCAAAACCATATCTAAGAATAGCAGGATATAAATGCTATTCATTAACAGAGCTGTTTCCCCATGTCCCTCCGCTACACTGACCGCAAAAACCCGTAGGAGGTTTTCAGCCAACCTGCTGTGCTTTCTTCAAATTAGTTGCTGTGACAGATTCCAGACTTTTGTCATTTTGGCTTTTGATGAACCATTATTGGATGCCTGCTCTACTCAAAGTAGTAATCTTTAGTACAACCATCTTCCATGACTGGATAGATTGAACTAAGCAAATATACCTGCTGGTCACACACACTAAAGGAGTGTTATGCTAACATTTGCTTCCTAAAAAAAACCCCAAACAATAGTTTCATTTTAGAAAGCTACTGGTTTGACAGAAACCAATTTTAACACTTCTCTCAACTTAAGTCAATTTAGAAACACATGCAAAACCCCAGAAGACCATTCTCAGTCTGAAGTGAGACAAGTAAATCCAGGCTACCTGTAAAATGACCAGCAGATGTTAATCTAAAATTATCTCAAAATTTCCTATTCTTAAGCTTACTCACTCTTGTTTCAAATATTCTAATGGAAAAGCTTCTCAAAACACAAACCAGTATTAATAAATTAATAGCTGACATGACCATATTTCACCAAGAGACTTTTAGTTGGCATCAGCTGCATGATCCCCAAGAGCTTTAACAGACCTGAAGAAGACTGGCAGGCAATTATTCTTGTAATTCTGGTTTACTGCCTTTTTCAATCACATCACTATTTCCCTAAACATAAGAATTGTGTGCACCAGGTTTGGTCAATTGTTCCAGTACACACCTACACTTAAATTCACTTTGAAAGTTATACAAAGGCCTACTGCAATAAAAAACTAAGTGCACATATATTAACTTACAGCTTCCCTACAGTGCACAAACATTCTGAAATTGTTTAATTCCCTCCCTTAATGGGCTGGCATGCTATACAATTAAAAATGTGTAAGTCTATGCAGAAATGTAACCATGGGACAGAAGGGGGGAATAACAGCATATGAAAAACGAAAATCTGCCAAGATAATGGTACTACAGAGTGGCTTTTTAAAAACACCATTAAAAGGTAGATAAATTAAAAAACAAGAGTTCTCTCTAGTGGCACATTAGATGTATTACAACTTGTTAAAATCAATAGTTACAGATGATATTCAAGGAAAAATAGAAAATATTTGAAATTCCAGTCATTGCTTAAAACAATGAACTTGTGTAAAAAAGAGAAAAAAAATTTGCCCAGTGTCCAAAATACTGCAGAAACAGATGAAGTCCATCCAAGACACCAAAAAATTCAACCAGATAAAAGGTAAGGAAGAGAACTAGGTGAACCACAGGTGGCATGTTAAATTCAAACTTGAGTACTATTTGTTTATTTTAAATTAATTCTCCAGCCAGGACCACAGCCCACCAGTTGCTGGAGGTTTTACATTAAAAGAACTTAAGCAGTTTAATCTTGACTCGAGAAGACTTGTGCATAAGATTGGCTTAATGCACTGTCAGCAGTAAATAGGACTATTCACAACAGAGCACACTCCTACTTCAGTCTTTGCAGGACACAGGGAGGGGGAAAGGGAAAGGGTAACCAATATACTAATATCTTGTCACTCCAGATGAAACCAGGAGTGAAATATGTACCTTTTAACATTTATTTCCCATATAATCTACCTGTGACATGGCAGAACAATAGTTTAATAATAAACTCATGTAAAAAGCAAGCATTAAATGAGTAAAATTAAAGGAGACCAACTAACAGAAGAGTAGGACAAAGTTTCACTACAACTTAAAAGAAATCTTCTGAATACTACCTCTGACCATTTGCTAAAGACTCTCAAATGCTTTTTTCCAGGCCAGTTAGAATATTAATTTTTGTAATTATTTTGTTCATTTAAGCATTTCTATGTGGAAGGCTTGGCACAATTACACTTACTCTGTGTATAAATCTTCTATCATTGCAACAACAATGACTATAAGAGACACAGCAAAAATCTGACAACCAGAACCAATAAGTGATGAAAATATTAGAGGATGACTGGATGGTCTAAAAACATCTCCATGAACCTGCTTCCACCCATACTCATCACCTAGATCTCTGTCCTAGGAAAAAGGAAAAAAAAATTAAGTCTAGTCATGACAATTAATGAAAAACACACAAGCTAGGCATAAATTAAAAGGCTTGATTTATTAAATCAACTTCAAGTGCATGTATGTCTTCTCTCCTGAATGCATCAAATCTAGGAGAAAAGTTACGTTTCAAATGCTATGAAGACAACAAAAAATACTACCTGAATGCATGATGCAGTAAAATCTACCAGATTCCCTCCCATCCCTAAAATCCTCTGAATTGCTTAGGAGTATACACAGGCTTCTATTACCCGGAATGGACCCCTTTTAACCTAAGTGTGGATATGAACATTAACACAGCGACTACAGAGAGAATTCTGGGTTGGAACCTAGGAGCATGTTATGAAGAAAATCAGTAATACTTTCAAGACACATAAAAGGCAGTTTTCTGTCCAATTGAAGAAAGCTTTTCAGAGCTGCTGAATGAATATATGAAGAGAAAACAACAAACCTTAAAAAAAGATATTTTAAAAAAGCATGAATGCAGATCTTACCATATCATCCATTTCTTCCTCCTTGCTGTATCTTGCGTAATCTTTTCGCAAAGTTCTCATTAATATCATAGACACTAGGCCAACCAGAAAGATCACCATCATAAAAGAATTGAAAATTGAAAACCAGTGAATCTACAAAAAGAAAACACATCCCTAAGGTTTAGAACCGTGTGTTTCAAATTTATTCCAATAAGGATAAACAGTTGCCTAGCCAGACAGCTTGTCAGCACTAGCTAAGTAACAATAAACTCCTACTGTAAGTAACACTATATTTTTAGAAAGCCCCATTAAAACTGGCCTGTGAAACACCACACATAAAGCTTATCAACAGCCAAGCTTGCTCACGATGAAGTTATCACAGCTTAGTTAAGCACCAGCAAAATTCAAACAACTGGCTGTGCATGCTCCCTTGGTAAAGGCAAGGCAACACAACGTACTGCTGCCATCCTAGAGAGGAGGTTTAAATAGGTAAAGAGATCCTCACAGTCAAAAAGTCAAAGGAACCATTGTTCTGCACAGGACCAAAATCTGCAGCAGCCTTAATTTTCCCAACAAACAAGCACATCTTCCGGTTTTCACCAAGCTCCAAACAGAAGCCAAACCCTCTAATTTCAGGAAGAAGTACAGCTCAGCATACTACCTTTAAGGAGATTACAACCACAGGTTTAAACCACCATAACTGATATCACCAACTGGTTTAGAATAATGCTTTTTGCTTTGCATTTACCTCAGTAAAAAGTGTACGTATGACCCATTGCACCTATTCAGCTCACAAGTCGTACAGCTGTGTCCCTGAAACTTTACTGCTTCCAATCATGTGAATATATCTACCCGAACTGCCCTGTATTTGCTACAGGCTTGAAGGTTGCGTGCAGACATTTACTGAAGCACCCTAAAAAACCGAAACCATTCTATTTGAGCAACAGAACTATCACTTAAAACCTACAGTCCTAGACCTTGCCTGTCTTACCGTCCCAGAACACCTGGGACATCCAAAAATTCAAATATGTCATCAAAAAATTCCATGACATCTTTTAAACTAAAGCAACCATTACAAATGGATATTTTGTAAGGTTGTCTTCAAACAATACATACTCTGTGCTGAAAGAAAGATGGGTCAAGATACTTGTCAAATCGGTCTTCAAACTTCACATCTGATTTCTTCCATTTCACCTAAAGAGAGAAAAATTTACACTTGAAAAGCTCATAATAATATGTCTGGCTATACTCACATACAGAAACCTGAAACATATTTTAAAAATCATCCACTTCAGTTGTTTTCTGCAATATGAATCGAGGTTTTGGCAAAAACAATGGACTGCTGTTCTTAAAGACTGCTATCTACACATCAGACATAGAATGGACATGAGCCACATTGCCTCATGGATCTAATCTTGTCTATGCTTATGTTTAAGAACAGGGAAGAATCAGTCTTGCACTGCCTCAGCGAGCCTAACCAGAGATGCAAACTTCTAGTTGTCAAACGCAACAAACCCTTTTCATTATTATAGAAGCAGTTCATCAAGATACTCATGCTTAAGATGCCAAAACTAAAATATACCAAATGACCGAATTTTTCAGTTTTGTCAAACAAACTGTTCAAAGACGGTATTTTTTTCCCACAGTAGACACTTGTAAAACAACGAATTTTCTTGAATCACTTCTGGGCAATACTTTTGAAAAATACTCTCAAATTTGCCCAAGATTTCAGAACAAAGGTTAGAGGAAGAAAGCATATTTTAAAATGTTCAATAATGACATGCTAAGAAAGCAGTAGAATTTTTCCAAAGAGTTTTTCTTGCTGACAGCACACTCCCTTTTCTCAACATTTCCAGTGCTGTGTTGTATGAAAAGAGGCTTGTGGAGAACATTACCAGTGTTCATTAAGCAATGACATACCCTCTACTTCTGCTCCCCCAATGGCAGCTGAGATCTGTTTTGCTGCATGCACTGATACTGGTATTCAGTGAAATCATCTGTACCTAAATTTTCTGAGTATAGTGCCCAAGAAAAAAGATGCAGTCTAGCAGAAGAGAGGGAAATGAGAAGATAGAAGAGCAAATTTCAAACAGATGCCAATAGGAAAGAAAAGGGCATACACTGAGATACAATCTGGCTGGAAAGGAACTGGATAAAAGGGATCAAGCTGAACCCTAAAAGACAGACATTAAAATTGTAAAAGCTACAAGCTAAAAGCTGCAGCCTAAATCTGTAAGACCAGAGCATTCTGCAATTTAGACACTTCAACTGACAACAAGTAACTCTCAAACCAGCTGGAAAAGTATGCATTTATGGCCACAGTATCACAGGGTAGCAGCATATTACCGCTGTCAGTTACTCCACTAGCTGCACAGAGGACTGCTTTGGATTTGAAAGACTTAATTGTACTAATGAACTATATGGTGCTAATAAGGTAGCACAAAGTATTTTTCAGAATTTCTGCAAGATTGTTTTCATTTTAATTTTTAAACATAATTTCAGAAATTAAACACAAATCTACACTATTTTTTTTCAAAAGTACGCCAAGATTAGAAAATATCAGGTTTTTTAGTGATCTTGAAACAAATGCAGCCCCCTTGTGCCTATCCTTTCCAACAGATGTTTCTCTTACTCAGTATAGAAGCAAGCATACAAATGTAGATTGATACTCCTATCACTCACCACAGTCCTGAGATACATTTAAAAACCCCAAGACCCAAGTATTACTCACTTCGAGGTATGATATAAACATTCTTCAGTTCAAATTACAACCTTGTTCAAGATTAGTAGCTCAGAACATCAATAGCTTTGAACACTGTTTTAAGTAGATACATTTCTCATTAGAGCATCTGCCACTAAGAAGCACTGCTTAGAACAAACGCCCCAGAGACAATCTCTGGATCAAACACCATGTGCGCGCCAACCCAGCAATTGCCCAGTGCCAACAGATTGGAAAGGTAAGTCTTGAGCTCTGTACACTAAAACTATTTTAAGGGAACATCTAATGTTATTTTCATTACTGGCAGCTACTCACTGCTGTACACCTCAAAATTCATATAGTAAATGGACTTCAAAATGCTGGTGAAATTTGAAATGGAAAAATTTCAAAAATTCTACTATCAGTTTTGCAGTAGAAACAGAGAGTAAACGTAATAGTGTAAACGTATTTCTAGAAAGCACATACAAAACCCAGTTATCAGCACTTCAAACTATATGACTCATTCAGCACAAGGCAAATGTAATAGTGGCAAGAATATCCTCGGAAATAAAATCTTATGCTGACACCTACTGCTAACACATTGTAGAAAAGCAACGCATTAAGAACTAGTTCCAGTATACAAACGCACGAACATGAGAAGTGAACCATTACAGATTTAAGTAACAACAAATAAATTAAGGAGAAAACCTGAGAAAATTAATCCATTAGATCAGCAAACATTGTTTACTCATTACCTTTTATCATAGCAATTCAGTATAATAGCAGAGGGCTTCAGAGAAACCCTTACTATAAGGTTATAAAATAAGACAAACTACTACTAGAATTGCAGAAACAAAATAAGCTTTGATACTAACTGCTTGCAAAATATGAAGGCTTCTAGTGGGCTTTGGTCCTAGCTAAGAATCCAGCTCAAATCTATGATGCAAATGTCAGAGCTCCAAACATTAAGAAAATGTGTACCTACTTGGGGGTCCTCTATACTTCCCCTCTCCATACCTTTTCGGACATCTTCCTTTCCCACCAAAACACTTTTCTGCAGATTACAGAAGCTTCAGTTTGAAGTGTCTCAAAAATTAACATCTTACATTTATTCTTAACAAACCTATCAGGGTTTTTCAGTAATTAAAAAAGATTTGAAGGAGTGAAGATGCATCTTCCTCTAATACAGCCTAATGTATCAATACGTAGTTGAAAGTATACAAGTACCTATTATTGAGCTATTTCACCATGTAGAATTTCTTATTATAGATGTATCACCAAATTACTTACTGAATATGACATCTGGATTTTTGTGTTCGGTACCAATTTCACCTTTCCTTCACTGGTCAGATTGACATCTACAATTCTATTTCCATTGTAACCGATTTCAAGTTTTTTATAAGTCCAAAGGTAATAATCTTCTCCATTTTCATCTGCTTCTCCAACAATACCTGCACAGGAAACAAGTGTAAGCATCTATAACAGCTATGCTTTTCAAATATTCTGTAAATTTTCTTTTTAAATATGTGTTACAAAAGTTTTGCCAGAAAAAAAAGCAATATAACTACAGTAAAGAGAACACAGCAGACCTTATGCTCTTCTTTAGAACTGTAATACCTGGATTACAGCTTCGATCCACAGGCATCTGCAAGAAGCATTTTTTAACGGCATTAAAATAAAAAAGTATGCAGCTACAAACACTGCAGACGAAACAGAAGACACAACAACAGTTTCTCTAGTTTTATCTGGAATTCTTGCCAGATAAACAACTAGTTGAATACAGATTTAATTTCCACAAATAGAACTTAGCCAAGACTTCTGTATTTCCCCATCTCCTGTCTAACCCCTTCACTCATTTTTCTTCCTCTTAAAAACTTTATTTTCATTCTGTATTCCTCATTAGTTGACTCCCGAACACACACTTTTTTGCTCTCATTTGCACATAAGCTTCCAATGCTTGACAAGAATTATAGTTTTTCACTACTCTCTCTGGTACTTTCACCAAAAAATTTAGAAAGTTATCATTTACTTGAAGATTTTTATTACCTCCAACATGAAGAAATGCTCCTGGAGCATCAGAACTCAATTGAACTCAGTATTAGTCATGATTGAGTTCTTAATTTTCAATACATTACTGCAAAATGTCTAAGCTACTACAGAAAAATACCAGAGAATGTACTAAGGTGGGAAAAAAAAGTCAAGTCTAGCAGTCACCAAGTTCACCAGTTACAAGTGTCACCTTCAAAGTCAAGACCACCATACCAAAGATCATGTATAAGATGGAAAGCCACCAAAAAAGCAGCACTCAAGATGTGCAAAGGTAGGGGGCAGTGGGAGAACAAATAGGTGCAGGATACGGAACAGGTTATCACGAAGCAGAAAGTATATGAAGGAATAGCACTTGTGCGTTACCTGTGCTTTTTAATTTTCAAGGTGGTATTTTTCTGTCATGTTTCTTACTCATGCTCATCTGTCAGGATTGCCTTGTGTATGCCATTCACATGAAACACGTGCCAGTTTGTGCCTATGCCATACAGCCTAGCACCTGGCATACCATCTGCTCCCATTGCAGTATCCAAAACCACAATAATACAGACCTCTAAACTACTTAATGGACATTCTGACCGATCACTACCTGAAGGAGTGAACTAACGCAGCACTCTATATACTTAGGGAGATGTCCTGAAATAAAGTCAAGCCTAGCCACTCCAATTTGGGATAGCGATTCAGGGAAAAAAAAACCCAGAAAATGGAATAATTTTATCTGAATGCACTTTAAAAGTTCTGGTTACCTTTTTCAGGTCAGAAAACAAAGTGTAAACCTTCCAAAGCCCTCAAACAGCAGTTTGAAGTCATTACCTTCAGTTATCAGCAGCTAAGGAAAGTTATTTTATGCCTGGCCTTTACTGAAAATAAGAGTACTCCTTACTGGATATTTTGAGGGCTTCCTAAGGAGAATTTCAAATATTAATGGTTGTGTGTATGACTTTGACATCAGTAAGCCTTACCAAGGTGGAAAACCATGAACAACACAAAACATGAACTTAACTAAAGTTTGCCAGGACACAGGAGGAGTGCCACAAATCTATCCAGATGAGCCCACAGAAGTGAATGGCCTGCCTTAAAAACAGAATTAAACACAAAATGCCTAGAACTCTCAGCAAACATTAACACCATCTGCATTTTGGGGGGGGGGGGAACTCAATGATCTTTAAGGTCCTTTCCAACCCTAACCATTCTATGATTCTATTTCAGAGATAATATTGCAATTACTACAGTTCTTACTCCTATGTATTTTAAGCAGTCCTAATGTTTTTCATCACACTTACTGAAATTAACAGCTATGCGATAACACTCAAGCAAAAGATACTAGTTTTTCTTAGTATCTCTACCACCACATTACATGGTACTAGGCAAGTCTATACAACACAGTCGAAGACACCAACAAGCTGGAGGAGCCATGTGTACAGTGCAACTCATGCCATATTTATAACAGAAATTTTTATAATAAAAACTGCTTAGCGAGCAGCAACTCTCAAAGCTTTAAGTTCTAGGCAGTGTGCAGAGCCTGAAATATTCCTGTTGTTGAACAGTTGCAGCAAAACCAGAATTAATGCAGGTAAGCTATATTCAGTTTTCTAAACTGTACTTGGAACCCAAAGGTCAGAATGACTTGTTGAGACTTGCAAATAAGTACTTCTGATCAGTTCCGGTGCATCCACTCCTTTCTCAGCTCCCCACCAAGAACTGATTATTTTTTTTTTAATAACAGACAGGCTTATATTGACTGAACAATCTACAGTCCTGCTAGTTTTGCCTAGCTGTCCTGGGTTAAGCAGAGAGAACTTTTTTTTTCCTCTTCTTCATAAATAGCTAGCAAGAGGCTGTGTTTTGGATTTATGCCCAGGAGAAGAGCTGATAGGAACGATGTTTTGTTCTGCTGCCAAGGACAGCAGACCAGGGAAGGAGGACAGCCGCTTGCTAGCATAGGGTTTGCTCTTAGGTTAAGATTGAGAACCAGACTGACCAATGATTTATTCCATATCATGCACGTCATGCCCAGTATATAGGTAAGAACTCCCAGAAGAGTGTCTTCTTTTGCCTTCACTCCGCTTTCGGTTTCGGTGCTCTCTTCTGGCTCCGCATCGCTCTCCCAAGGCCTTTCCACCCCCACACACACTCCGGTCAGCTCTCAGTCTTGGACGCCCGAATTGTTATCTTCGGGATCCTCCCTCTCCGGGGGGATCGTTAGCTGTGGCCAGGTGGT